AACTTAAAGGACTTGCTCAATAATAAGTACAGTTATTAATTTGTCAAGCTGTGATTGTGTCTTTGTAGTGAGGCAGACAGATATGGAAATGTCAGGAACGTTGATTAAAAACATCAAGGAGATACATTTATGGTTCTACATCTCTTCTATGTGATTTATATGCCCTTCGGGACATAGTTCTGCACTTAGGAACCCCCCTTCCCATTAGAAAGATATATATGAAGTTTAAGGGAAGACCTCCAATATTTCATTTTGGATTGCTATCAGCTTCCCATTATGGGGGTTACTCTAAAGCAGTTTCATTAAGTAGACTGGATTAGCAATAGAAGGAATCTCCTGGGTAACATCTGCAGCCAGTGTAACTGGAAGGAACCAGATTGATGGAGGCTGACCTGACATCTAATTCAGTCTCTTGCCCCTTCAGATCTCCAGATTCTTTGCAAAATTTAATGAGACAGCACAGAGAAGCCTGTATGTGTCTACTTTTATACATGTTACATGCAGGTAGTAATATCTGTCTAAACTTGTGCCTGTAATGCTTAAAACCAGAGAAGGGGTTAATTTAGGAACTAAGTTTAAGGGTATTGCAAAACTGCAGCTCTGTTTGGGGGAAAGGAAACTTGGTTCCCTCCAAAGTGTTCATCTTTCATTATTTCAAAAAGAACCATGAATAACAACAAACCTGGTCCCTAACCCTTAGAAAAGTGGAGAAAAATAAGTTGGAAGTATCTGATGAACTTCTCCATGGAGACTTTTTGTTCATGGGAGAACTGTCTAACATTTTGGGGGGGATATTTTTGATTTTCTAGTGTAGTCCATATCCCAGTTTTTACATAGCATGCTAAGCTTGGTGGATTGTTAACTCTGGTTGTGAGTGTCTTAATAAGTTCTTTGAACCTAGGTCATTTAGTTAGTTTATGGTTCAGTGTCTTCTTGTGAACTCCCAAGGTGGATTAATGCAGTACTAGTTTAAAGACATACATGGATGTACCCAAGATAGTTCAATATATGAATTCCATCCCCATGCCAGTCTGATGTCATGGTTTAAATCTTGGATTAGGACCATGTAGATCCCAGTTCACGTCCATCCTCAGCCACGGGAGCCCCCAGAGAAACTTTGAAACTTGTCAAACTCTCAGCCCAACCAGCCTCACGTCATCATTTTTGGAGAAGATTTGAGGAGGAAAAAGTATGTGTGTCATCCTGAGCTCCTAGAGACCATGAGAGATGTAGATCTGCCTGAGAAATACAATTGAGCATCACTCATCCTAGCTAAGATGGTCAAGGGTGATGCAGGGAAGGCCTAGCTAAATGATGGAAATTACCAGAAAAGGTGGTGGAGTAGCCACAGTGGAAGTGAATAATTATCCTCCTGTCTCTGTTCATGAGCTTCCCAAACGCATCTGGTAAGATGCTATCAGAAGTGGTATGCTGGTTAGTTAGAGCCTCGGGTTGGTCCAACCTGGGCAGCCTTGAACGTGTCAACCTGCTGGACTGTTTGGTGGTATTTTAATCATAGAGTGTCATGCCAGCAGCTCTGATTGCAGAAGGCTCTTGCTGCTTGAAGAGCCTGTGGCTCTGAGACTTAGATAGGCAGTGTGTTTATTTCTATTGTGGCTATTTTTACACTTTGCATATCAAATGCTCTGTTCTCAGGCTATCATTAAAGAACAAACTCCGGTCGCGTTGTGGTGTTGATCCTCTTTTATTAGGACATGTTTTAATTTGCATCTTTAAAAAAAAAGAAAGAATCTAATTGTGGAACTGAGCTATTTAAAATGCAGATGGTTTCTCAACAATCATACACAAGGGAGGGGGGGAAACAGCTGGATGGCTGAGCTGATTCCTCACTTGGCTTTTAACGCTTTCTGGATGTCACCAGCTCCTTGTCTTCGGAGGGCCTGGCCTCCATTTTGCATGTCCCTCCAAGTCTGGGTTTGTCATCGCCGCTATTTAAAAGAGAAACGCATCCGGAGATCCGATCTGGTTCCTTTGGCCGCGCTGATGAGCCAATGCATCAGAAGATCTCAGAAAAAGCTAAAGAGGTTTGGCCCTAGTTAGGACTTGGATGGAGAAGACAAGAAACCCCCAAGGTGGTAGAGTACAGTAGGAAGTCAAAAAACCCTCAACAACAACAGACAGTGGCAAGTTATTCAAAGAGGAAGATGGAAGGAGAGAAAACCCCGCAGTGTTTGGCTCAACTCTCAAGCTGGTTGGACATTCTGGTGTGGTTTGACTTCAGATGGATCTTGCATTTGATCTTTGCCAAGCTGACCTTTTTTTCCCCACACATTTTAAGGTCTCTGGGATTTACATACTTTCCCCCCTCCTTGGCCGAAGTTCCAGCTTTCCTCCTTCCCTTCTCCCTCATCTCCAGACCAGTGTACCGATTTTGGTTCATTCCTTTATTTTCAAATAGGAAACAACATACCACGAAGATGTGTGAACTAAATAAAACATACAAATTAGATGCTTCACTCCAGGCGATACAGAATCTTGCTTCAGAAACAACCGTGTCAGATTGTGTTAAATTTACCCAACTTGTTCTCTCTCGCTGCATTGTGTTTCTTTTTCGGCTTAACGGTGGCCTTGTACTCGGTGAAAGATTTTTATTACTCTCGCTTTGTTGGTTTAAATTGCATTTATTTCCAATCTCAGAAGAGATTCGGGTTTTACTTTCCCGCAAAGATGCAACTCCCTTATAAGGCAACTTATTCTATTTAACTTTTGTCCCCAAACATTTGTTCTGTCCTGTGTTTGCATTCTTCCTACAGGAGATCACTGAGTATTAGCTGGTTGTAACTGTTCAGTGGACTGACTTCCTATTAAGCAGGAATGCTGCAAGGCAGAAATAAGGAAGGAGGGAAAGGACATTACGTCTCTGATAAATTGCCATATCTCACGGATGCTTTATTAAAGATATATATCTTGGTGAAATTTTGGAAGGCACAGCTATCGGGAGATTCTGTCTGAGATTATTTGTATGTGTTTTGAAAATCAGTTCTGGTTTCGTGGACCGGCTGGAAGAATTTTGCTCAAGCTACTCTGTTTTAGAGGCTGAATTTCAGGAATGTGCCAGAAAAAGAAGGAAAAAAATCTGGATCTAACACCACAAACAGTGCTATATTATACAGGATCCCCAGGGTTTCAGGTCCAGCTGAGAGAAGGATCCAGGTTTTAAGGTATCAACAGAAGAAAAATCAAGTGGAAAAGTTTCACCGATTTGGTTGTGCTTCTTTTGTAGAGTTTAAAAGCTTCATTGGCACGGATGAGATTGGAAGTTACAGCAACGGTTTTTATTTTCTGCGCAGTGCGTTATTTTTGAAATTAAATCTCTTGTTGCTTCAGGCCGCCGTTGCTTTTATTAAAATTGCACTTTTTATTTTATTTTATTTTTTATTTTATTTTATTTTTAAATTGCTTGTATGTTTTTATTGTGCATTAGCTGGTTTGGGGTAGAGGTCAAAGGCACCAGTCTAGAAACTGGGAGACCATGGACACAGAGCCAGCTGGGTGACCTTGGGCCAGTCCCTCAGCCCTAGGAAGGAGGACGCCAGGGCAAACCATTTCTGAAAATGTGCCAAGAAAACTACAGGGACTCGTTTAAGCTGTCCCCAAGAGTCAAAACTGACTTGAAGGCATCAAAAAAAAAAAAAGCAGAATTTGGTGTAGTGGTTAAGGCACCAGGCTAGAAGCCAGTGGACTGTGAGTTCTAGTCCCACCTAGGCACGAAGCCAGCTGGGTGACCTTGGGCCAGTCCCTCTCTTTCAGCTCTAGGAAGAAGGAGACAAGGGCAAACCACATCCAAAAATCTTGCCAATCTTGTCATGAAAACTGTAGGGACTTGTCCAGGCAATCACTGGGAGTCAAGACTGACTCACAGGCACTCAAAAAGATTGGCAAGATTCACCTTAGCGAACGACAATAGCAAAGCTATAGAAATCTGGATGACCACTTCTGTTTGTTTATATGCGTGTCATCAGACTGAGAATGTTTTAGCAATGTTTCTCTTTGCAAGCTCTGGTCGTGTGATTTGCACTAGCTGTTTCTTTTCCCCCTTTTTTTTTCCTCTCCAGCCGCCTCCTTTTTGCTAACAGCTGGTGGAGCACAAAGAAGATAGAGTTTTGAATTAGGAAAACAGAGTCCTTTTGACTCTAGGTATCTTCAGGGATAATTAATTAACATCTTGGAAATATAATACACTGTTGGTGCCCAGCTCTGAGAAACAACCTGAGTAGATATACTCAGATTCAGATTCATACTTCTACTCAGAGTAGAATACGTAAGATTCTTCCTACGTTCATGCAGTTTTTCAGAGTCTACGGAGATGGGCTTTTCAGATCTGACCATGCCGTAGCTCCACGCTAAATGCTGACATGCCGTCTCGTGTCCATTTTTCCCAAACATTTTCCCAGTGAAGCGCTACTGATTTTATAAAAGCTTGTTTGCTAGGTCAAGGCTGGCTTCAGGCGTGACCGTTTGAAGAGCCCTCTGACCACACTAAGAATGGGCATTGAGCATTTCTTGAGCCAAGCTCCTTCTGGTGACATTTGAAAAACGAAGAATGGGGCCAGGGTGTGTTCACAAATACAAGTGCCAAGGTTTTATCTTGCTGATAGAACTCAGGGGAGCCATCTTACCTTCGAATTACGCTGGCTGTTTTCACACATTCACTGACCTTATGGTTCAGTTGATTGTATGAACTTAAAACATAGATTCATCCAGTAAGCAAGTTAAGGGCCTTTTCTTACTTTCGCCTAACTTTGGCGAAAGTAAGAGAAGATATATGCAAACATATCCAGGCAAACGGGTTTTCCCCCTCTTATGTACCCCACAACATTCCCTTCATCTCATCTCCCAGGCCCAGGAATGAGAAAGACTTAAATCCTCCTTTGCTCGATGTAGCATTTTCCATCTTATTCTGGCACCATCCCATCGAATTGCAAAAACTGAATAAAATGCGTCTGTCATGCTTGAGACCCTCTTTGCTTTCCTTGCAGAAAAATGAACTGAAAGACATCAGGCATGGAAACCATCTGTTGAACTTCCAGTATGCAAGCAGATCACACAAGGTATTACTGTACGACTAGGGAATTTGTAGGGTGGGGGCTTAAGTTTTGACTGGGTGAAAATGGGTACCATTCAGGGGCAGATTTTTTTAACATTGCCTAATGCTGCAACTAAAACCTGAAATTATCAGACTGTGATGCCTGATCTTCAATTCTCTTCTTCTTCCCTCTGGTGAATTTAATTCTATGATGCCAACATGCTGCAAATCTCATCCTTCACCATTGAATGTCACTGTTAGGGCCCAATACGGAGCTAGAAAGCATCCTTGGACCAACTTCTACCCCGGCATCTTTCGTTTGTCTTCTGTGGAGATCACGTTAAAATCTATAGAGCTGCGAAAATGGTTGAATTTCAGAGCTTCAGATTTCTTCTCTTGTTGGGGGATAAATGATAGAAGGAATCTCATTCAGAAACAATTGTTCACCTTATCTTTCTCTTTGGCAAGGATGGGGTTTGGAAGGGAGCATTTAGATTCTTTTTTTCTTCTCCTTCAGTTGCTGTCTAGGTGAAAACCAACTATGACCAGCTTAGAGAAGTCCTTGCTGTAGTAACCAAAGAATAAGATTTGGCACTCAAGGGGAAACACCAGCTCCAAGCCAAACTGGAGAACTTAGAGCAAGTCCTAAAGGTAGGGTGGATATTATTGCCAAAAACAACAACCCAGCAGGACCGAGATACGCTCCAGAGATCTCCAGGTCAAAGCTCAAAATCTGAAATACCTTCTCTCTGGTCTCCTGTTATTTTGGGGCACTGATGCATGAACACTTGGAACCAAAAGGGGACCCATTTTTCAAGTTACCTTTTTGACTCTGACTTCAATTTGGGGGGTCAGGGTAGATTATTTTTTTTGCCACCCACCTCTCTTTGCCTCTCAGATCTTTGCATTTCTACGCCTATGCTGAAAGTTTGTGACCTGCTTCATATAATACCTTGATCAGAAAGTTGGTGGCTGCCTGATGCTGCTCCTCTTTTACCTTTGTCAACACATGCACACACACACTGATATACACACACATATATATATCCCACTTCCATCATGTTGGAACATGTTGACCAAACAACCCTGCTAAAATGTGTTGACATAGCTCAAGTTTGTATTTCAAAAACACACTCTCAAAGGAGAAGAGGTTGATAGGTTCCTTGATAGTCCAAAGCATTCTTAGTCATCATCTCCAAGATGTTTATCTTCTTTTCCAATCTAATTAGGATGCTGGAAAGCCGCAGCTTGAAACGATATGTAGAGGTTACGAATGATTGAAGGTTCTTGGTTCCTTGAGATTCCAGAGTTTCCATTAAAAGTTTAATATGGTACCCCTAAGTCTTTGCACCCTCTGGAAGGAAGCAGACAACAAGAGCTTGCTAGCCTCATCAGCAATGGTTATCTTTCTTTCTCTCCCACTCCGTAGCATATGCGAGAGGCTGCTGAACGGCGGCAACAGCTGGAATTGGAGCATGAACAGGCCTTGGCTATTCTCAACTCAAAACAGAAGGAAATTGAACTCTTGCAAAAGGTAGGAGAATGGGTGGGTAGAAGCAGGGAGCAAACAGAGGGTCGAAATTGCAGCAGAGAATGAAAGAGGCGATCTTGTTTACGTGTCAGCTCAGTCTGCTTTATGAGATTCTCCACTTGCATGCCCGTAAATTTAATAACCACTCTTTTCGTGTTAGCCCCTTACGATGTGATTGGAATAATTGTCCAATTACAGAATATATGAAATGTCTCTCCTGGCCAGCCTTTCATATCCAGCTTCCAAATCCCAGAAAGAATGTTAATAATGTCCTTCAAGACTAACTTGATTCCGATAAGGAGATCCAATAAGGATAACCATGTTGATTAGGAACCTAAGATTGCTCTCTCTCTTTCTTTCTTTCTCCTTCATTATTACAGGCTTGAATTTTGAAAATATGGATTATTAAGAAGTCTGTGATATGAGATGAGATAGAAATTTCTTATTACGGGGCAAAGAACTTTTCATACGGCAAACATCAGATTTATTTCTCGCCTCTCTTGATCTGATTGCTTAGTTTAATATAGTTTTTCATACACCTCAAGTAATCCAAAATCTAGGAACAGCTTCTTTGGGCTGTCGAGAGCACAGATGGTCGGGCATTGATAGACTTTCACCCAGAATCTTTTGGACTTTGGGTGGACTTTCTGAGTTGCCAAGTGGGACATTATGTTTTTATATTCGTTCAGGATTCCTGAGATACCCCAGAACGCACCTATACATTAGATTGTGTCAGAAACCTGCCCTCCAATGTCCTGAAAGCTTCTGTCTCCTGCAGAAAAGGCTTCTGTTTTTCATTCTCATTTTCAGGGTCCTTTACTAGTCTGTTTGATGGTGTTTTGGAACTTCTTTTATGGTGGAAGATGCTGATAATATTTCTTTCCCCCCATGCCTACTTCATTAGGAAGCCTCCTTGACTTCCCACCCTTTTTTTTACATTCCAATGAAAAACATCATATGGAATTTTCTTCTATGTTTCTCCCCCCTTTAAATCAACACTCCTCCGAGCTCAGCTGACCCAGGTTGCATATGAGCCTTTAAACAAAACCAAAGAAAGTTGAGGAACAAGTGGGCAAATCAGGACACACCACCTATTAATTGCAAAGGAATCAGAAACGTCCCTCTAACAGGACTTAGGGCAATGTCTTTGGGTAGGAATACCAAAAAACGATGCCACCCCCAATATGCTTTTTAGCCCTCCTCCGAAGGGTGGAGCTCATCTTCTTTCCCTTTTTTGCTGTGAAGGGTGGGGCTTCCAAGGAACAGAAGGGGCCCTTTAAGCTTTGTAGAAGCGAAGGCACGTATTTCATCCATTAAATCTCCTGAAAGCCCTTTGCCAAACAAATCTGGTCCAAGACTCTTTGAACATGCGGCTTTTGATATCTGTGATATATTACAGCTGCCAAGTTCTTGAAAGTTGCTCACCTTGTCTGAGCATTAGGAAGAGCTTTCAGAACTAAGCTTGGGAAAAATGATGGTGTGGTTCATACAGATTTATTGCTGAGCCACAGAAATAAGCTGTCATTTCCCGTTGCCTCTCTTTTTTTTCAGGCTCAGGTTGAAGCTAAGAAAGAACATGAAGGAGCGATTCAACTGCTAGAGGTAAGCCCGGTCCTTATTCAGTCTGCCTCTCCATGATATTAGAGCTGCAAGTAATCTTTGGATTTGCTAGTACGTTAATCAACTGCTAAATTAATCAACTGCTAGATGAATGGGCGAGAAAAAGATGGTTGGCCAGGCAAAGCATTTTGAGCATGTGTGTTCAAGGTTTTTCCGAGGTGGAACCCTAACAAAGAATTTTAAACAAAATATTAATTAACGTATGGCCGTTCCTCCGCACGATGATCGGAAGGTATTATGCGCTAAATCAATCTGCGTCCATTCCAAAGGGACACGGGGATCCAAAGGGGAAAGCAATAAAAACAACCAAAGAGTTATCGTTCAGAAAGAGGAGACCGTAGGCGGGTCTCATAACTCACACCAGCAGCTTTTCAGCATCCTTTAAAGTAAAAAAAAACCAACAGCAGCTTTTTTCAACGGGCAGCCATTTATCAGAATTGACCGTGAGTAATCCATCACCTGTTGGCTTGGGGAAATATTTTGCCACATCTTTCCCTGGGAATTTCAACACTGGCCCTCTGTTGAGGTTGAATCCTGCCTCCCACCTCTATAAAAGCCCAGTCTTTACCATGGAGATGGGCAATGAGATGCAAGGATTTATTTTCCTGCATTCTCCCCCCCCCCCCCCCCCCTTCCCCATTCTTCATCCAGGCTTCATGCTGATCCTAAGGTGTGTGCAAATATAAAAATGCACAAGCCCCATATCGCTTCCCAACGAGAGACTCCTTTTTTGAATTGGTGACGGCTAATCGCACAGCAGTTCTGTCCAAATGAAGATTGCAAAGAAGGGAGAGCGTAAAATTCTCAGCGCAGAGGAAAATTCTCCTGTGCAGGAGAATGGAAATCAGTCCAGAGATCTACTAGAGCCATTTTTGGATGTTTTTATTGCTAGTGAAACAGGGAAATCTGCAGATCTGAGCCACTTTTGCTTCTGACTTGCTTTGGGTTTGATCCACACACATCTGAACTGCAGCAAGCATGTAGGTGTATTTTTTCCCCCTTTCTTTAAAAAAAAAAATGGTTAGAGCTTTACCGGCAAAATGTTCCTGTGTGTTTTACTGTTATCACCGAATGTATGAACATTGATTTAAAAGAAGAAAAATCCAAACGCCTCGTACATTTCTGGTGTAGGAAAAGGAGAAGGAAATCAGTTTGGCCCCAAGAAGGGAGGGCTGTTATTAGGGTAAATGACTTTTTCTGTCTTTTTTTTTTGCAATTCCAATTTCACCTGCAGTTTCTCTCCTCTGTGATTTCCTTATTGATCTGACATTGCTTTTGAGTCTATTAATTTTTCCCCCATATGTGTTTATTTAATTGGCCTGTAGAGATGCCAAATCAGCAGCCGAATTGATTTTCTTTCCCCCCCCCCCCGAAATATATGCCAGTGTGGTTCCTTTTAATGCATGCTTTTTTCCCCCTTCCCCTTTTTAAAGTGTGGTAAGTGTACCAGCGGGCATATCTATGTTGCTCACTTGAAACTCGTTTCAAAGCTTGCATTTGCAACCCAAAATAGTGCTGTGAAATTCGAGCATCTCCCTTTCCCCCTTCGATCTGCAAGCCGTAAAACGAAAGGTACTCGAGGCCGTTGTACTGCAAGGCAGGAAAAGTTTGCAAAAAGCTTTTGGGGGTAAGAGGTATGAGTAAAAGTGCCAACAGCAACATCTTCCTCATACCATCCATTCTCTTGCTCGGGCGGTGAAAAAAGTCAAGGTGCCGGCCACGCAGTTGACGCCCTAGTCCTTTTTTACACCTGTCACTCATGTAAGAAAGGGGTGGGGCTTTGATCCCACAGTTGAGGCCACCATCTTGATTCCTTTGAACCACTACCAACCCCCATGGGTGCTCTTGCTAAAGTGATTTTTTTTCATCGCTTTAAAGCTGTTGCCATAATCGATGGGATGTCTACCCTGTTCCTGGATGGCATTCTTGGAAGAAGGGGGTGATGGCCCCTTCCATGTTCCTTGAGGTATTCAGAGGAAGCAAAATGTCTACAACTTTGAGAGTTTGCCTCCCCTCCCTTTTACAAATGGGAAAACCCTGTTTTTAAGCAGAAAGGGGTGTGTGGAATGCAATATTGTCATTTCAACCCATGGTCAAAACTCAGCTCCACAAAGCATGGCGGTTTTCTCTTGGTCGCTCATCAGCCTTTGTTTCAAACGAGCTGGAAAGGCTTCCAGGAGGGCCTCCGTTTGGGAGAGCAGACGGAAACCTGAAGGCAAGACTTTTCCAGCTCTTGACCCAACGGTCGTTCCCGAGATTCCTTGCCATAAACCGGAGAACAATTCCCGAGGCTCTGAAACAGTTTTAAACCCGTGGCATAGATAGGCTCCATACGTGTATTATTTTGTAAAGCACAAAAATGAAATGGATTTTCTGTTGTTTGCCTTTGTTTGGCTTTTTCTCAATCTTTCTTTTAATGCACAACTTTTTTCCCCTTCCCCATCCCGTGTCTTTGTTTTTCCGTACATTGCTTTGCTTCTCATCCAGATCACTTTGGACAGTATGCAGGTATTTTTAGACGAGGAGGGTGGGGGAGGAGGGAAAAAACCTTCTCTGTGTCTTCTTCTACCCAACCTCTACCAACTGCCAGTGCCAGATGAACCTGGCCTATCTTTGCATGGAACTGCAGCACCACGGTTACAAAAGCATGCTGAATTGCTTGATGTGAATACTGGTGCATGGTTTGGCTGGAAGTCTAAGCGAATGGGATATCCTTCACCTGATAAACCTCCAGGCAAAAAATGCTCAGTGTCTAACAACCTCTCGAGACCATCTTCTGGCTGTTGACCCCTAATCTGAAGAGTGTGCCTCGTTGGAACAGTGCAAAACTTTCATGCAAAGTAGAAACTTTCTCACTGCTGTGTGTGGATTTTGCTTCAATTTAGACGGTCTCGGTTCTCCGAAAAGGAGATTCTGGAGAAGGATCCTGAATCTGGCTCTGAGATCCCTCAGCAGGTGGCAGCACTGATGACCTGGGCTAACCTTGAAAGAAGCTTAGTACTGCCAAACCTGGTTAGAACTTGGGTAGGAACTTCCTGAAATTGCCAGGGCTTAAGCTAGCTAGGCAGTGGCAGGGTGTGGAGACCTGTCAACCTATGTTTAGAAGTGGCCATCCTACAAGAGTGGTTTTTGGGCTACCATTGACCATCCATTGATGGAGGATACTTCAACCACTTGTAGCACATGGTTGGCCCTGGCTGGGCTCAGCGGCTAACCAGGGTTGGATCTAGTTAATCCCTGGATGGAAGACTACAGGAATTCTAGAATTATAGGCTAAGCTTGCAAATCAGAAAAAAAAAATCTTGGAAGAAGATCCATATCACTTCTGTGACATGGAGCACAAAGGGAAGAGAATAGAGAAGCAGGTAATATGTTGCAATCAGTGACTCCCTGGCTACTGTCAGGGCTGTTCCAGAGCCTTAATACACTTTTTCAACAAAGCAAACTGGAATGGTTAGGGTTAATTGCCCCATTTGAAAACACACTGGGCTCCAGGTGCTACTGTCAATGCTGTAGGGAACAGAATTGGCACTGTATGAATGTCACAGATTGTTCTTTGGACATATGTATCTTTCTGATCAGTCATGGTTTTCAGCTGCCCCATTGTACGTGGGGTATGGGAATTAGAGATCGAGGCCAACAGATCCGCTTTCCTCCAGCCAAAAGAATGTTGCAACTCCAGAATGGGTTATTGAAATATCTCAGTGCAGTTATCAAACATGAATAGAATTGAAAGCCCATAGCTCTGTGGGACCAAGCCAAGGTTTGTCCATGTCATCTCTCCAATTCAAGGGCCTTGGGGATGCCGTGGGTCTGTTGGAGATCCTGTAAGTAACCCTGAGCTCCTTTGGGTGAGGCGAGAAAATGGGGCATTAAGCACATCACCTTGAGACTGTTCTCAATTTAGGCAGATCACACTAATCTCATTAACATAGCCAGTTAATTATGAGTGGGAAGAGGAAACCTTCTTGTGTGTGGTCTTGACTCAATGCACTCATGAGTAGGCAAGAGGTCCAGTCCACGTGCAGCCAGGACAGAGGTGATGGCTGTGACCCAGCTGAGATTCTGTGTGGGCTTCCAGGCTGCGCATATTGCTGGCACGTCACTTTTGTCCCATCTGAGATCCTGTGGAAGGGTCTTTGGAATTCATGGACCTTCCCCCATGGAGATTAGGGACATCGTCATCGGGGTTTGCATGAAAGTAGCAGTCTCTTTCAAGGCAAACATGTGGTTCATACAACAACTTAGGACACAACTCTGTTGGGTCTCAAACCTGCATGTTCCCCCAATAACGTCAGGGGCCCTGAACATTTCAACTGGGCCATAATCAGAGATTATCATGTTTGCCTGTTCCATTTGTCTGTGTGAATGTGTGCTTGGGAAGGATTTGGACAGAAAATTACATATGCCTTCGGGGCAGAAGGGGGGAAAGATGGTGCTCCTTTGCTCTCTTGATGTACGTTCACACTTTGACAAGCCCTGCAGCTCTTTTCTACTCTCAATTTGCTCAGGCCAAGGTTTGTGAACTAGAGGAGAAATGTCGGACGCAGAGTGAGCAGTTCAACCTCCTCTCCAAGGAACTGGAAAGGTTTCGGCAACAAGCTGGGAAGTTTGATCTTCTAGGGAGTAACTTGTTGCCTTCCTCAGCTATTCCTGGATCTCCCAGCAAATCTTTAGCCCAGTTGATGAATGGAATTGCCACCTCTTTGGGCCAAGGTAAGAATGAAGATAGGCCACCTGAACCCAGAAGGCCACCTGACCCTGTTTTCTAAAGATCCTTTAATTAAAAAACAAATGGACAGTAGACCTGTGGCAAAACAAAACCTCAGGATCCAGCATAATTTTCATTTGCAAGAATGCCTCTGGCCCCATGGATCCTGCCCCAGCTGGTATTGTTAGAACATAAACATAATTGATGTCTGCACTTCAGTACTTTGTTCAACTATGCTGAAACGAAGGTGAGAAGTAAGCTGTGGTCATCAGCAGTATCTTCTCCAGTTTGTCTCCAAGGAAATGGAAGCTGTTTTGTGGGTACGCAAGTTCTCAATTGTGTGATTGGTTTCAAATTTCTAAAAATGCCCACCAGATCCAGATGTTGGCCTGGTCTTAACTTACAGAATGTTTTGTAAATTCTGTTCTATTGTATCTTGTAGACACCAAATTAAATCAACTTTATCCTGCTTCTGGAAACATCAATGTGTGTTTTCAGTAGAACTTTGAACCATATTTTGGCATGAGCTCTGTGAAATCCTTAGTTTGGGGAGACATCCTTTTCCTTTCTCCTGGGAACCTGGATTGAATTCAGGTTTTAGAACTTCTCTTCTGGTTGAGGCAAGGAAGCTGTGTGCCAGTTTGTATGAGATGGCAGACTGTGGAGGAAAAGACAGAGCTATTAGCTTTAATGTAACAAAGAGGAACAAGGGTTTGCGGAGAGGAAGAACATGTCATATGTCTGAATCATTTTTAAGAGTCACACTGAAGTTGAGTGACTACAGTTGCCTGGATTATTTTAATGACTCAGAGTGATTGTGACAATTTGAGAGTTACAGTTCCTTTGAATGTAATCTTCTAGGAGAAAGGTTGTTTCTATGCAACCTGGCTAGTTACAGTAAGGAAAATTTGTGAGTTACATAGAGATATTTTTACCCTGAGGAATGTTTAAACCAGCTATTTGCAATCTTTCTATTATTAATTCCCATTATTTGTATCCTACAATTCTCAGTATCCTTGACCATTAGCCATGCTAACTTTCATAGATGATGATAATAATGATGATGATGATGATGATGATGATGATGATGATGATGATGATGATGACGATGATGGTGATGATGCTCTAACAGGCTTATCCTGAATGTGAAAGCTTTACGGTTGGGAGGGAAGCAAGGATGATTTGTAAGGAGTAATATAGTGAATGATATTGGTGTGAGCCAGTTTTAAAATGTTGCCTTCTCTTTTTCTTATCTCAGCCATTTCATTTCTCTGGCTTTCTATTTCTTCTCCTTTTTCTGCACTTTGCATAATGTTGTTTTACCCGAAAAGGGAATAATGTGATGGATACCTATGTATCTAGGTTGACTGCACGATGCAGTGAAGCAAGCAACGTTTACTTTTTGATAATCTGTAGGGCTTGCATAGGTGAGCATTTGAGTAGATGAGACCCTGTGTAACTTGCATTAAATTAGGCTGGACCAAATCTTTGAAGCAAATTGCAGGTTTCTTGCACTGCATCATGTTAAAATACCTCCACGTGATGTGTGCAGTTGTCTTTTTAAGACCAAAGGAAATCAGAATGTAGAAATGAACAAGGATGGCTGGAGAATTTCCTTGGCTGTCGAAAATACAACTTCTCTTGTGAATCTCATGGCCCATCATGTCTTATAAAAGTCCCCCTAGGATGCTGTCCAGAGGGGCTTACAACTTGGCTGACAAGTTTGTTTTCATTTCATGGTTTTTAGCAGCATGGATTCTGCAGCTCGAATCCAACAGATCTGGAAGGGGCACACCACGGAGGGAGGTTGATTTAAGTGGTTCTTTCGAAAACTTCCCAAATAACATTTCCTGAGTAACATCTCTCAGGGTTTAGAATTCTCAATTGCGTACCTGGATATGTTGGTTGGCTTCAGAAGGGGCACAGAGTTTGTCCAGCTACGGAGAAGAAAAGCAAAGGCAGATTGGATTACAGCTGCAGAGTTGAAAATCCAGATGAAGCCCACCAGGGTGGGGAGTGGGCCAAACATCTTCTTAACTTGGCCAATCACCCTAATTAAATACAGAGGACACTTGGATGCATTTACTCTGGGATCTAGTATAGCTCATAACTGATGAATCAATACTGATATGAATCTTCTGGCATAAATGCTCTTTAAGTGCTGGTGGCTAATATATGCTTGGAGACCTTTAAATTAAGAAGTCTGTCACACTGGAGGATTTTTCTTTTTATCTTGCTCTATTTTTATGAAGGCTTTTGCTCTCCATGAGATGTTTGCTCTTAGAGATCTTTGCTTGGGCTTTGCTTAGCACCCTTCCAGATGTGCGTGCTCATTTCTCATTTCTTGTCATGGTTTCTTCTTGCTTTTATATTGCACCTTGCTGCCCCTGGGATGTTCATTATCTTGTCTTACTTTTGATAGAATTCCGGGGTCATATTCCTGAGAGCATTAAAAAAAGAAAAGAACTTGGATCTAATTTGGACTATGCATTTAGCTTGATCCAAGACGTGGGACCTTTCTGGGTCTCTTGATACAGCTGCCTATTTGGAAGCAGAAAATAGCAAGAGGAACCTTATTTTATCGGCAGCCACAAAGTCCAATTTAGGACAGTGCTGGCCTCCTCAGACAGTCAAACACGATCACACTGTCACTCTCTTTTCTCCCTCGGTTCAAAGAGCAGCCAAGGTCTACAGGTCTGACCCCTGCATGAGGTTTAGGGCAAAATCTGGCTCAAAATGCACTTCCTATTGTGTCTAGGTGCACCCTCACATCCACAGCAATGTTAACATTCTCTTTATTTCCATAATTTGCCACTGAAAGGCGTTGCTGAGGTAGAACTGGAAGAAGAGCATTTCTTGGCCTTCCAGCCTTTTAGCCCAGAAACTATTCTTCTTTGCATAACTGCTGCGCAGTTTTCCCTAATTGGAGATATGGTCTTATTTACTACAGATTGCTTTTATGGTGATTTTTATGGATGTTTCAAGGAAGCCACCAAGAGTCGCTAGAAGAGGAGGCACGCAAAAAATGTCAATAAAAACATGAAATATGCTGTACGCAAAGTCAGCCCTACAGGGAAATCTTTAGCCCAAAGTTTTAGCTCTGGGGATGTCCCAGATCCACCACAGAAGCCATCTCTCAGAGCAGTTGTGCTTTAGACATACTATATAGCAATGATGGTACAGATGCTGAGAACAGACCGGAATTATATCATAGGCTGTTAGTTCCTAGGGAGTGAACACTCAGCGTCAGTAAGTGTTCTGAGCCATAAAACCAAACAGCTTCCATGTTCAGAGGTGTCTTGTCTCCTCTTCCTCTTCTAGTTTTTATAGATTTTAGACAGTGTTTCTCAACCTTGACCATTTTAAGATGCGTGGACTTCAACTCCCACAATTCCCTAGCCAGTATGCTGTTTTAGACTAACTTTATATGTTATATGCTACTTAGGTTGGCTCTAGTGTTTTATAATACAGTGGTACCTCTAGTTATGAACTTAATCCGTTCCGTGACTCTGGTGGCAACTCAAATTGGTCTCAAGTCGAGGTAAAGTTTCCCATAAGGTTCAATGTAAATCCGGTTAATCCGT